TACCAGTGATACAAAATACTCAACAATCATTACAGAAACTACAGAAGACAGACATAGAGCAATCCTTCATAGACAGCCAGACACTGTGGAAGAGAGATCCACTGGATCTGCCAACTCAGGACCATAGTATTGGGGGACACCAGACTGAATTGGCACAACAAAATACATAAAAACCTTATTCCACAACCTAAATTGTTGAGTAGTGACTGGGATCTTAAAAGCTTTTGAGTGCCCATCTAAGATGCAGCTAATAGTCTCTTATCATTGGAAGCAAAGAAGACTGCAAATAACCAAGGGCATTTGGAAACAATCAGCCCTAGAACACGATGGTCCTCGAGATCAGAAGAACTAGATGGTGCCCGGCTACCAATGCCAGCCACTCAGGAAGGGATCAAAACTGGAGATCCTGGATAGAGTGGGAGGGAAAATGTGAAACAAAATCCAAAAACACAATAATGACCAGAATTACTGGTTGAATGGAGTCTGGTGGGATCCCCAAGACTATGGCCTGTGATACACTTCAGGCCTGGGATCAAACTCACTTCCAAGGGCTGGCTCTCAGTAAATAAGACTTATATGCAGAACACTCAACCCAGGGTGATGCACCTGCCTACTCTACGGAGATACATCCCTTGGAGCAGTCAGCCATGGGGAACCAGAGGGTAACATTCACACAGGGGAAAAGCAGGACACAGGAGTGCATAACAGAAGGGCACGGAGCGGGGGTAGGAGGGATTTACCAGGAAGAGATGGAGGATGAGAGTGGGTTAGGGTTGAGGATGGTAATTGGGGAGTGAAACCAAATGTACGTGAAATGTTGAATGTAAAACAAATTCTGCTCTGTAAATTTGCACCTGAAGCACAATAAAAATAATAAATAATTGTAAAAGAAATTTAAATCAAGTTCATCTTTATTTTTATGTTGTTTATTCTGTAATTCTGTAATATGTGGCATTCATAATAACTAAATTATATAGTATGAATAAATCACCATAACAGCACAGTTAAATACAAATAATCTATGTTCGATTCTTTTTCTTTGAACAGAGCATGTGACCGTCTGCGTTGTATAGCCTGTGATTTCTGGATAGTGAGCTACAATGACTATATGTGGGACAAATCATGCGATTATTTGTTTTTCAGGTATGTTTCTAAAGAACGTCAGTCTGTGAAAAATGTACCAAGTACAGCTTTATATTTCTTATTTTGTTATAATGTCTCTTGGTAAACTTAGCCAGATTGTGTGAATATTTTTCTCACCCATCTCCTTTGTGTCTGTCTGCTGTCAGCCTAGAAAAGGCCTCTGTTACCTCTGGATGAGAGTAAGCACTAGCCTGCTCACTGATTTCCTGTCTGCGCTCTCTCCTCTTCCAGCTCATCTTCCCCTTGCTCAGAGCCTTCTCCAAGCAGAGCTGAGCATGCCATTCTCCCACCCAACACCCTTCTGCTTTGATAATGTCCAGGTTCCTTAGCCTGGCATTCAGCACCTCCCAATTCAGTAACCTTCTGTCATTCATCCTTTTCTTTCCACAATATGATTTTTACTCTCACAAGATTTTAGTGACACTAAATTTCAGTGCTCCCATTCCCAATGACTTTGCACAAGCTCTTTGCCTCCTGGGACACCTTCCTGCCATTTTCTTTATCTAAATCCTGCCTATCTCTCAGGGTATAATTCATCACACATCTTCCATGAGTCCCTCACCACTCTCTCAGCTTGGAAGTAAATTCTTTATTCCATAGCACTGTCTATAAGCCTCTAAACTGTAAGAGAATGAACTCCTGTTTGTTAAGGCCATCCCATTTGTTGTATATTCTTGTCAGAGTGGCACTTAGGTAACCAGAACACCAGGCTATAGATAAACACGTAGACAACTGAAAAGATCAGACGAGGGTCGGTAAACAGGATTATACTCTAGACCAAAGAGATATTCAGCTGAGGCCAATCTTGGACAAATACCAGTGATACAAAATACCCACAATCTTTACAGAAACAACAGAAGACAGACACAGACATGGACAGCCAGACACTGGAATATAAGATTGAAGATCTTAGAATGGTAGATGTCTGCCTTCCCTGTTAGGTTGATAATAGTGTTTTTACTTGTATTTTTGTAATTTGTACATTCTTACAAATTTGCTGAATACCTGTTTTTTTAAGATACTACAAGTTATGAAAATGTATTTGAATTATAAACTTACATTTTCAAATAACAACTAAGAGCTAAAAATTAATAGTGGATGTTTCATGTTCTTTGGCCCCCCCAAACCTGTGCCTAAACAAAGACTATATTTTCAGATACAAGTGTTCAAAATACATTGCAGCATTTTCCAAAAGTATAAAGAAAAGGGTGAGCTCTCTTACCTCTTTTAGCATCTCTAGTTATCCTCAGCGGAAGAGCAGGGAAGGGGATAAAAGCCTTGAGCCCCAGGCTTAAAGGTGAGGAGAGACAA